CCAGACCACACACTAGAAGGTGAAGGGACGTCGTTTCGACTTGACACAATCGACTTAAGAATGGTCCAAGACGGACCGAAACGTCGTCGTCCCTTCACCTTCCAGTGTGTGGTCTGGTCAACATCAGTCACGTTATTGTGACTCCTCGCCTGCACATGGGATTACCATCATCTTCATTCTCAGTTCTGTATTATCAACAATGCCACTACTACCCTTCTCCTGTTTCTTCCTTCATAGTAGTCTTGAGAGAACATTGCTTTGGCTATGACTCCTAGTTTTGTTTCTGTGAGTGCAATTACATCTAGTTTATCCTTGTCTCTCTCTCTCTCTCTTCCTTGAGAGAGAGAGAGAGAGAGAGAGAGAGAGAGAGAGAGAGAGAGAGAGAGAGAGAGAGAGAGAGAGAGAGAGAGAGAGAGAGAGAGAGAGAGAGAGAGAATGAGAATGTGTGTGCCCTCGTGCCTTCCCTACTCTTCAAGGAAACCTCTCACCTTGATGTATTTGTTGATGCGTGAGGCACCCCGACCACGCACCATCACACCCAAATGTCATGCTACTCTCACACGCGCACACCCACCACAACGCCGCCACACACACACACACACACACACACACACACACACACACACACACACACACACACACACACACCTCCCCGTGACCAGCGAGGAGGGACCACACTCAAGGCTGACAGACACCGCTCAAGGTCCACCAACAATCTAACGCTTGGAAACCGATTGTGAAAAGGTGATGGACCCCACGAGGCGTGTCGCAGGTGGTGACTAAGTCAAACTGCTCCCCACAACAGTCGCAGAGATCCATGCTTGCCAGGCAACACCACTCTTGTCAAGGCAACGCCGCTCTTGTCAAGGCAACACCACTCTTGTCAAGGCATTAATTTGATCTAAAGTGCAGTAGTTGTAATGTGTGTAGACTGTAGAGTGTGTCAGCACATGTGTATTATCCCGGCCCCTTGTGTGTCTTGTACAGGTTCAATGTGGGTGAGGCGGGTAACTTGTGTAAGGTGGGCGTGGTCTATATACACTCAGGAAGTGTCTGTATGTGTAGGTGTAGGTGTGGGTGTATGTGTATGTACAGTAATCGTATTGGCGTATGCCTTTCCATTGGAGACTTTCAGCGCCGTGGAGAGGGGGGACCTGCTGCATGGGTAACAGCTTCTCCCCCGTATCAACCTACCCTGGCTTTGTGCCCTGGTGAGGCCACTCCAGACCGACAACCAGAGCACAACTCCATAGTCTCCCGAGACTGATGGATGCCTACTACTACTACTACTACTATGTACTTACATAACAACGTTTAAAGGTCCAAGCCTCGCCTCCTGGCTCACGCCTTTACAACTGTTGGTCGTCTAATTTAATGACGCACAAACCCTTTGTAATATTGTTAATAAGGTTATCAATGCCAGTAAGCCCCAACCATGTCCCTGGTGAACCCTTCCCTGTGTTTATGTTCCTTGTACTGAATGTTTCCTCACACCAGCGTGGGCCGCCTGCCTGTGTCGTGGCCTCTCTCTGGCGCCTGGCACTCTACTTCTAAGTGTAGTTCCTTCAAGTGACTCTCCTGACGACACACACTCCTCACTTCCACGCACCGAGTCTCTTTCTTTCTTTATTTGGTAATTCTTACAGTGCACTTTTGGCCGTGGTCCGGAGGGTGGTGGTGGACATGTTAGCACTGGACGGACCTTGTTGTATAAAGAATGCTGAAGACGGCAGTGTACAGCTTCCTGAGGCGGTCCTTAGTCGCCTGCTGAGTATTGTGCTGTGTCTACCACACAGTTTTACCTCTCTGACACTAGTGCACTTCTACCACTAGTACACTTCTACCACTAGTGCACTTCTACCACTAGTGCACTTCTACCACTAGTGCACTTCTACCACTAGTACACTTCTACCACTAGTACACTTCTACCACTAGTAGACTTCTACCACTAGTAGACTTCTACCACTAGTAGACTTCTACCACTAGTACACTTCTACCACTAGTACATTTCTACCACTAGTACATTTCTACCACTAGTAGACTTCTACCACTAGTAGACTTCTACCACTAGTAGACTTCTACCACTAGTAGACTTCTACCACTAGTAGACAATAGTAGACTTCTACCTTTCATTACGTATTGTTCCTGTGGTTGCCTTACTCCTCTCCCTATCACTCCTCTAGCTTCAAGTCCAGCAGCAACTTGTCCGACGATGACTACAGTTAATCAGTCATCGTCAAGTCGTCAGCAGTCCTCGCGTCTCTCTACTCCCCTCATCATCAACTATGTTAACTCAGCGAGCACCAAGACATATTCACCCCACACAAGAGCTGAGAGAGGCGAGACACTACATCACTTGGACCGTGCCTCGCGCCTCCTCCATGGCGGGTGCTGCCCTCTACCACCTACCACGCTGTCACCAGTGGTAGTACCACTCACCAACCTCCCCCCCACCACCACACGCCTATGTACAATACCCCCGGAGCCATGTACCTGGTATGGCTCCTGGTACCACTGTGGTGGTGTGTGAGGCAGCAACAACAGGAAGCAAGACAGCAGAGGCTGCAAGAGTCGGCCGGCAAGGCTACACTCCTGGCCACTATTGTTCAACCATAAAACAATTCCTTTTCCTTTTCTATTTCTCAATGCAAGAGTCGCTCCTTAAATACCTCGGTAAACTAATGGTAAACAACACAGAGAGAGAGAGAGACTTCCTGTTTGTACAAAATACAAGACGTTAATGGAACAACTTTCACGTCTTATAAACTCAACCTCAGGAAATACGGTTGACGGAAAAGAACGAGAGAGAATATCGAAATAATATTTTGTATCAAATCAAATTTGTAAACAAATTAAAGGATTTCTTGGTCATCAGAGGAGAGGACCGCCGGAGGAGGCCATAACACAAGCCTAAACTTCTTGCTAAGGATAAATAATTAGGATAAATTATCTTGCTTAGGATAAATAGGACCCCTTTTTTTCTGGGAGTAAAGAGGAAGGAGAGGCATAGGTGAAGGAAAGTATAGAAGTGGGAAATACAGTGAGAGGTATGAAAGCAGGCGGGCTGTCCGCCTTGCTGACACCATGTGTGGGTGTTGGCAGCTAAGCTAAGCTGGCTCCCTCTTGTCAGGGAGCTGTGAGTGTGTTCAGACATACATTGTGATGGGTTATTTAAGGACTGCAGAGCACTTTTAGAGTCACAGAAAATAACTCCACCACCATTGATCTAGCCACTGAATACCTTAAGCTCAATGGTGGTGGAGTTATTTTCTGTGACTCAAAGTGCTCTGCAGTCCTTAAATAACCCATCACAATGTCTGAAGTAGCTTGTAATATTAAATGGAATGTAATTTTTGCCAATGATAATAACTCTTGGGTAAAATTTGTGTGGATCCCATCCCATGTTGGAGTTGGAAAACATGACTTTGTAGATCAATTGGCCAATGAGGCTTGCAGGAAAGAAAACATTGATTATGACTTTTGACTATCTAATGCAGTTATTAGAAACATACAAATTAAAGAAATTAATTCAGATTTAGAAGAACTAAGAAATGCCCAGAGACATGAAAGCTGTAGTATTAAAAGTTATGACAAGTTTTGTAATAATAGGTATTTGTATGGTCAGCACAGTAACCGGACCGGGCAATGTGATGTAGTCATTGCGCGAATTCGCCTTAGCTATAGACACATCTGGCAGGTTAGTGAGGCTGAGCCACTACCAGAATACTCAGATTGTAAACTCTGTGATAAACCTTTAATGCATTCACTAGAACACTATATTGATGAATGTGAA